CCCACTGCACAAGGAAAACACAGAGCTACTTTCCATTACGATGAGTTCAAAACTGACACGAAACACTGAAGCAGGCACAGAGCCATGGGCACCTACACACCTCATGTACCCATGGCGCTGGCCCTGCACAGAAGCTGCTGGAATCCCAGCTCCTTCTGATGATAAGAAGACTGATTTGTTTCTGGTTACCTCCCTGCTCCCTGCAGGGCAAAGAAGAAATGGATGTCACCACCAAGAATGCTGGCAGTTGCCTGTTGCTGCTGAGGAGAGGGATTTTTGGTTTTCTCTCTCTTCTTCTTTTCTTCTTCTCCCTCCTCCTCCTCCCCCTTCTCTTCCCCCTCGCCCCCCCTCCTCCAAGTGACATGATTAATGTAGAAAATGCAGCCAAAGGCTGGGCACCAGTGGCTCTCACCTGTAATCCTAGCTACTCAAGATCTCAGTTCAAAGCTAAACTGGGCAAATAGTTCACGAAACCCTTTCTCGAAAAAACCCAACACAAAAAATGGCTGGTGGAGTGGCTTAAGGTGTTGACCCTGACTTCAAACCCCAGTACTGCAAAAAAAAAAAAAAAAAAAAAAACAGCCAAGCAAACCATTTGCCCATATCTTCCTATGCATTTAAAAATTATATAGTAATGTCACAAAACTTTACTATTTTCCTACCTCTTGTCCTCAGCACTGTATGATTAAGTTATTTTCCACTGACTATTCTAAAACGTTTTTTGTGTAAAGATCACATGATAATAGGACAAAATTTTAAAGATATGAAAGTCCTTACATAATCAAAACAACACCTTCTTCCTCCTCTGCCCCGACAATTCAGTTCCCCTCTCTTAATCGGCCACTTCCTGCTTCCTCCACGAGGACCTGCACTTCACCTAAACAGATTGAACATTTTATTTTTAAAATACCATTACACTGATATGCTATGACTTACCTAACTTAGTGTCCAACACTGAAATGATCTTTGCTTTATATTTATAAAATAACATTACTTAGTTTTTGGCAGTGCTGAAGTTTGAACTCAGGTCCTCACTCTTGCTAGGCAGGTGCTCTTGCTGCTTGAGCCACTCTGCTAGCCTCAACCCTGTTTTTTGTGTTGGGTATTTTCAAGATAGAGGCTCATGAATTATTTGCCCGGGCTGGCTTCAAACCATTATCATCCCAAGTAGCTAGAATTACAGGAGTGAGCCACCAGCACCTGGCATAAATGTTCATTGTGTTGAACATTTTTGTAACTAAAATCTTTACTTGTACATTATTTCTCTGGGTTAGGTTTGGACGTGGAATTATTAGGTCCAGGCTTATGTGTAGTGTATCTTTGGGTTTACATGGATAGGTTGTAGTTCAGAAGAACTTACTCATTTTCCCAAATAGCAGGCCATTTTCCCCAATCTATCAACTTTGAGAATTGATGGATTCTACTCCCCTCCCACAATTATTACAACCTGATAATCTTCTTCTAGGGTCTGAAGCTGACCAGGAATAATAATGAACAATGAAGCTTATTCATTCTGTACTCCCTGAATTCCTCCATGCCCTGTGGTTCAGAGGTAGATGAACTCACAAGATGAAATATCAAGTTACACTCATGGCTAAGGCTTATTACAGCAAAAAATACACAGCCAAGGCAGTGGGGGAAAAGATAAGCCTGAAGCGAGTCCAGAAGGAGACACAGTCTTCCTCATCATTTCTCACTGGGGCCACACGGGGGTTTTCATTCTCTCCCTCCTCCTCCCTATCCCCATTCCCCTTCGAGTTTAGGGTCTGAACTTTGATGGTGGAGTTGGTGTCTTAGGTATATCCTGCTATGCACTGGCATACTCGTGTGTATTCCTCCAGCAGGGAAAGTCTGGGGTCTCTCTCTCTCTCTCTCCTCTCTCTCTCTCTCTCTCCTCTCTCTCTCTCCTCTCTCTCTCTCTCTCTCTCCCCCTCTCTCTCTCCTCTCTCTCTCTCTCTCTCCCCCTCTCTCTGTCCTCCAGAAGAGAAACTTGTCATGGATTTCGGGAGCCACGGGTTGTTAAAAGAATTGACTGAGAGAGAGGAGGAGATGGCATTAAAATGGGGAGAAGACGGTGAGCCACAAGCAAAGGAGCACAGCACACCAACACGGGGTTGAGAATAGATTTTAGACCTCGGGCTAGGCTGCTTTTGATTGGCAGTCTCCCTTTCAGTGGCTGTCTCTTCCTCACACCGTGATTTCAATTTTGCACACAAGGGAACGTCCCCTGAGCTCAGCTCCTCCTTCCTTATTCCACCTGGCTCTTGTTTTTTTTTTTTTTTTTTTTTGTGGTACTGGGGCTTGAACTCAGGGTCTACACCTTGAGCCACACCACCAGTCCTTTTTCTGTGATGGGTTCTTTCAAGATAGGGTCTCACAAACTATTTGCCCCAGCTGGCTGACTTTGAACCTTGATCCTCCTGATCTCTGCCTCCTGGGTAGCTGGGATTACAGAAGTGAGCCCCCAATGCCCTGCCAGCCTGGTGTTTTCTGTTAGGTAGCAATTAGCCATGAGTGATGGATGAGGCAGGATAGAGAGAAGAAAATTACATTATTGTAATAAATATTTAAAGGGCCAGACTCAGACATTAAAACAAGGAAGTAAAACTAAAAAGAACTAGACACAAGCAGTGGTTGCAAGAGGAAGGAAGAAAGAAAAATCATTTTAATTAAACTTCCCAATTCCACAGATGACTGGTCTCTATTAAGATCAAGTGGCCAGAGGCCAGGGGACATCACAGGGTGCTTTGAGATTAGCCACTCACCTGCATCTTAATCTTTTCTTTATTCAAGCATAATCTATCCTCTAAACATCAGATTGACCTGGCTCTGGGAGTTTACGTAGGCAATCTCTTTAATTTAACAAGACAAAGATGCAGACCCAAAAGCTTCATCCTTGACCTCTGGTAGCTAGAAATTTCAAACAGGAATTCTCCATCAGAGCAGGAACTCGTATACAGGTAACCTCTTTCATTTAACAAGACAAAGACCCAAACCTAGGAACCCATCCCAGGGGCCAAATGGGCCCAAAGCTAATAGTTATTCAATAAACATACCAACTCTAAAACCTGATGTCACTTGTTCTCACTCTAAAGTCTACCTACCCACTTTCAGTCTATTCTAACAAACTTTACTGTTGCTTTTACTCTATCTTTGTGTCTTGCTTGATTTCTTTTGCTGCTGGATGCAAGAACTGAAGTATTTTTCATGCCTCCCTAAATGGGAACGTTCCTCCACAAAACTGAGATCCTATTATCAAAGGAAGACCATGTACATGCTGGGAGAAAACAACATATATTCACTTTATTAATATGGAGAATATACCAACCAAATACCAAACACCCCTTTTCTTGCCCACAGTGAGGGACCACTGCTTCCTCACCAATTAGAACTAGTCTCTTCTTCCCAAAGGTAAGATTTACTGAACTAGTCTCTTCCCAAAGGTAAGATTTACTGAGATTCCCAATCATAGAATGGCCCAGTAGCTTTTCCCAATCACCCAGAAAAGGCCCAGATCCTGTAATAGTTTTCCCAGTGCCCCATTACTGAGTTTCCCCACCCCCATATCATGCATTCCTTCTTACTGTAGTGAATAATCAATGAAATTGTTCAGTTACTGGTGTGTGTTCCTGATCTTAAAGGTTTTGACAGGACCCAAAAGACATATAAACCAATGACAGTGATCCTGATTTGAACATTTCAATGGTAGAGAGATAGCTACTAAGACAGCAGAAGAAAATTCATATCTGATATTAAGCAATTACTATTTTTAAAGGTTGACGATGATACTGTGGTCATATTTTTTAGATACATGCTTAAATAATTGTAGATGAGATTATAGATGACTTGCTTCCAAATATCCTTGGGAATGTTAGAAAGGGCTAGAGTTACAGATAAACCAAGATGGTCAAGTACCAGTCATTGTTACAGCTTTTGGTAAGTTGAAATTTTACACAGGCTTCTTAAAACTTGTTTTGAATACTTTTAGGAGAGAGCAAAATTATAAGACAAAATGTTACTAGAAATTCAGCACAGCTATCTACCTCAGTCCTGTGTCCAGCTAAAGAAGAATTCAGACAAGATGTGAAAATGTAGCAAATGTGACAGAAAGTTAATTAGGAAAGGAGTACATTTTCTTTTCTTTCTTTCTTTTTTTTTTTTTGTGGGACTTGGTTTTAAACTCAGAGTTTTGCACTTGCAAAGCAGGCACCCCAGCACTTGAGCCACACTTTCAGGCCAGGTGTACACTTTCAATAGACTGAAGGTTAGGCATTTCTAGAGCGAGAATAAGAATTATTCTTACCCTGGCACAAGTTTTTACTGAGGTGGAATGGGGCCTCCCTTGGACCAGCCCAGGAGGCGGAAGTCACATTAAGATCAAGTTCACTGGTTAGGAGGTCAAGTTCACTAGGTTAGGAGGTCAAGTTCACTAGGTTAGGAGGTCAAGTTCTCGAGGTTAGGGTAGGCCTACAGATTGACAATGTGCCACCTATTATTGGGTCCACCTGATCCCAGGGGTATGGTTTACGGATCTGGGTCTTTGTTTTGTTAAGCAACATCTATTACTTCAGCAACTGATTTTGACCCATGGTGACTCAAACATATCTTGTGACATCCCATGACCTTGGTGGGCTATTTTGATCCTAACAGGTTAAGGCTTTTTCTCTAGGCAACCTTGAAGAGTCCTCCACTTTAGATTCTTTGCATATCTCCATCACTCATGGCTTACTGCTACCTAAAAAATGGAAAGGCCACTAAAAAGTTGACATTCCCTTCTCTCTCCCACACCAGAATCAGTGCTGTCGAGTGCAAAGCGTTCCCGTGTCAGGAAGCTAAACGCCAAATATTCCGGGGCAGTAGTTCCAGGCTCTTCTGATATCCCACAGACTCCCTCGCTCCCTTCCCCTTCCTTTTCCCACGCCCTCCAAGTCTCCGCACACATCCAAGATGGTGGTGACGGACGGTCAGGCCACTAACACCCACCGACCTTCTTCCCAGCGTGCGCGCATGCGCCGAGGGTGCGCATGCGCCGTGCGCCTCGTCCGGGGGCGCTCGACGGGACGCGCCTGCGCAGTGGAGAGCGGCTGGTGGCTAGACTCGGGCAGGTGCAGTCTCAGTGAGAAGGCGGCCGGAGCGGCTGTCTGAGTCAAGATGAGGCTTCTGTTGCTTGTCCTGGTGGCGGCGTCGGCGGTGACCCGGGGCGAGGCCTCGGCCAACATGGGCGGCGTGCCCAGCAAGAGGTTAAAGATGCAGTACGCCACGGGCCCGCTGCTCAAGTTCCAGATTTGGTGAGTGTGCGCTCCGACCCGACCCCGGCCCCAGACGCCGGGCCGCTGCGCCTCCGCTTGGCGCCGCTCCCTACGCGAGGCCCCGGCTTCGCGGCCTACGTGGCCGCGCCTTGCCCGGCTCCGCGGACCGGCGCCTCCCCGGGCCTCGGTCCCTCCGCGCACAGCCGCCCCCGCCACTTCCCTTCGCCTGGGGAAGGCGGGAGGGGGGAGGGCACCGGAAGGACGCGGGGACCCGACCCGACCCAGCAGGTCCAGCGCCGAGGCCGGCGGCGCCGTCCCTCCCGCCGTCCCCGTGGCCGTGTCCATGAGGTGGCCGGTCCTCTACCGGGTGGCGTCGGCTCTGCGCCCCGAGTTGCAACCCTGGACCTTCCTCTGTCCTCCGCGGCCCCTCCGCCTTTTCGATTGGATGCGCTGGTGGAAGGACCCGAGAGTTGGTTTCGTTGTTGCAGCGGTTGAATGTTACCTGCGGGGCATGGATACATTGTATCGCCCAGTCCCGCCGGGGTGCGGAAGGTGCGGGTTAGAAAAACTGCAGCATCGAGAAAATCAAGCTCCCAGGACGATGCTTTCTCGGGGTCCCTTTCCTGAGAGGCCAAATGAGCAAATCATCTTGAGTCCTGACTCTTTGAAATGCTGGTACTGGCCGTAGTTCATTAAAACCCGCTCTTCAAGACTTCACGTTTTTAACGTAAGCCAACTAAAGTCTGAGTCTTACTTCCTCATCTAGCTTTTTTGTTTCTTTATATATTTATTTTTGCAGTACAGGGGTTTGAACTCAGGGCCCATCCCTTGAGCCACTCCGCCAGCCCTGTTTTTGTGATGGTTTTTTTTTCGAGATAGGGTCTCTGGAAACTATTTGCCCGGGCTGTCTTTGAACCATGATCCTTCTGATCTCTGCTTTTTGAGTAGCGAGATTACAAGTGTGATTCACCACCGATGCCCCGATTTTAGCCATTTCATTTTTTTTTTTTTTTTTTTTTTTGGCGGCTCTGGGGCTTGAACTCAGGGCCTCATGCTTGCGAGGCAGGCACTCCACTACTTGAGTCACAACCCCAGCCCTTTTGCTTAATCATTGAAGACTAAGCAAATCTTTAAAAAAAAAAAAATCAATTTGTGACATTTAAGCTAGACAGAAAATTCAGATGGCGAGATTTTATTTTTGGAGTGAAAAGTTTGCAGTTTTCTTTCTGGATACAAACAAACGAAACAACTCCTAAGTTTTACTGTTTTCCTGGAATATATCATCTTTCACGTGGTACTGCTAATGAAAGCATGATTTCTCCAGTCTACATGCTTCCTCTTCTTTTTCGTTTATTTCTTTTTTCGTTCTAGGGATTGAACCCAGGGCCTCGCCCATACTAAGCACCTACATTTCTACCAGATACACCTCCAACCCCTCAATTTCTTTTTTTTTTTTTTTAGAAAGTGATAATCAGCTGGGTGTGTTGGCTTCTGCCTGTAATCCCAGCACTCTGGAAGGCTGAGGCAGGAGTATGGCAAGTTTGAGGCAAGCATGGGTTACCCTGGCTCTTCCTTCCCCGCCCCCGAAAGTAATTGTTTACCAGTTTACAAATATTCTTAATGAGTAAGTGGGATACTTTGAGTAGTTGTTTTTTTAAAGACTGCAGTTTTCAAGGTTAGATAATTTTCCTGTATCCTACATCTGTCTCATTTTTCAAAATATTCTTGTATTGGAATTCTTGATGCAATTTACCAGGTGTATCTTCCATTCAGGATATCCATAACAAGGTTTTCAAAACGTGTAAGCAAATGTAAGGAATGCTACTCAGTCCTTACAGTTAGTTTTTGTTTTTGTTAAGTCATTAGTACTTCAGCTAACTGAACTACTTAGTTGAACTTTGATACTGAGTTTTTCTCTCTTTGTTTTTGGTTTAAGGGCAGACTTGTTTTGAAAGTCTTAAGCATGTTACGTAACCATAGTGCTTCAGTTTTTTTCAGCTTTTTTTTTTTAGTGTGGTATTAGGGTCTGAACTCAGGGCCTACACCTTGAGCCAGTCCACCAGCCCTTTTTTGTGAAGGGTATTTTTTGAGATAGTCTTGTGAACTGTTTGTCCAAGCTGGTTTCAAACCACCGTCCTCCTGATCTCTGCCTTTTGAGAAGCTAAGATTACTGGTGTGAGCCATTGACACCCCGCAGTGCTTCAGTTTTTTTGGTGAATACACAGGAAGTAGCTTGATTACTGTGCCTTCCCAAATGCAGATGAATTTAGTTTGCTGGTTGTCCCCCCTCCCCAAGGTTAATCCGTCTTAGTAGAGTGACTGTTAGGGCCTGGGGCACTGGGGCATGGCTCTAGTTAGCACTGCTGCAGCCGGGCTCTGAGTTCATCCCTAGCACTACCAAAAACAGGTGAACATGAGGTCTCTGGTTTTAATAGAATCCCTCAAATGCAAGATTGTTTGAGAAAGGAGAGGAATCTAGTACAACTGAGGATAAACACATCACATTTGAAATTTCAGTGCTGTGAAAAGCTGTTTTTACCGTATTTCAATTCGAATGAACATTTGACTGTTTACTTGAACATTTGGCAATTGAACTGCTGTTGAGAATAGTAGACTAAATGAAGCTAAGATTTCAAAACATAAGCAGAATATGGCGGAATTTTCCAATTTTAATTGTCCACTGCTGCAGTTTTGGGTTAGGCGACTTTTAACTGCGGTTTTAAGAGGTAAATGAAGCAGATATTACACAGATAGTCATTTAAATTTATACTGTCTCAGCCTTTGCTTTCATAGTATTGTAGCAAGAAAATAAAGACTTAAGGCAAATGTATATGTTGATTGTGATCAAATGACTAAAATGCTGCCCTGGAGAAACTGAGTCACAGAGGTCTGTCAGTTACTGGAAACATGGTATTTCCATAGTCAGCAAGTATTTGAGCACCTACCCGGCAGGCACTTGGTGTAGGGTGTAGGGAATTCAGTTCTGAGCTCTCATGGATGTGACAGACGAGAGCAGAGAAGTAAGTCCATGACCACTCACACATAAAATCAAAGGAGTAGGAGGGTGTCCTTGAGGAAATGAACTTTGAACTCAGATTCCAGGTGTCAACAGAGCTTTACCAGCAGTAGAGACTGCTTGCCTCACAGCAAGAGAGAAGCCCAGGGCTATTGATTTGTGACAGCAGAGCAGGTAGCAGTGAGCCTGCTCTCTGGAGGGTCTGGCAGGTCATGCCCAGAAAGGACCAGCTAGTTTAATGTGACAGAGGTAGATTCTGACACATTCAGGGGGCTTTTGGAGTTGTCTGAGTAAGGGGTGATGGGGCTTGGAATAGAAAGGTAGTGAGAGATGTAGGAAGTAAAGAGACACAAAGTGCACAGGAGGCTGTGCATAGGTTCTATGCAAGTCCTGTGCTATTTTACAGAAGAAATTGAGGTCTGCAGATTATGGTACGGGGGACGGTGTCCTGGAACCCATGCCTCTGAATGCCAGGCATTGTGCTATTTGGAGGGAAGGACAGGTGGCTTGAAGTGACAGCTATCAAAGATGACTCCTGAGTCCTGGAGTAATGGTAATGGAAGCTACACCATTCCCTGGAATGGCAGACAGTTAAGGAGATACATCTTATGAATTATGCTTGGTGAGAAGAAAGGGAAGGAATCCTGAATCTTGAAGACTAAAGACCTAACAAGCCAAGTGAAAAACCTCTACAAGGAAATTTCTGTCACTCCAGAAGTAGCGATACTCTCTGAAACTAGAAAGCTTAACTGAGTAGTTACTATTTCCCCATCATTAAACCTAACATATAATGGATTGTAAAATGCACCATTATTTGTTCTGTTTTGGTGGTACTGGGTTTGAACTTAGGGCCGCTGCACTTGCTAGGCACTTGAGTCACACCCCCAGCCTCTGCACCATTATCTTGTATGCCATTTGGAAAGAATACTGCTGCTTAAACTGATACAATAATGATCATAAGATAAATCCCAGGCTGGCAGAGTGGCTCAAGTGGTAGAGCACCTGCTTAGCAGATGTGAGGCCCTGAGTTCAAATCTCAGTGCCACCCTCCCCAAAAATGAGTTCATTGATTGGGCCACCAGTGGCTCATACCTATAATCCCAGCTACTCAGGAGGCAGAGATCAGGAGGATGGTGGGTTCAAAGCCAGCCCAGGCAACTAGTTTGCAACATGCTATCCCCTATCCAAGTACTAACCAGGGCCACCCCTGCTTAGCTTCCCAGATCAGACGAGATCCGGCACATTGAGGGAGGTATGGCTGCAGATGCAAGATGCTATCTGGAAGAAATCCCTTCACAGAAAAGGCTGTTAGAGTGGCCCTGAATTCATACCCTAGTACCATAAAAAAATAAATCCTTTTTTATATCTTTTTTTTTTTTTTTTTTTTGTGGCAATATTAGGGCTTCAACTTAGGGTCTCATGCTTCCTAAGCAGGCACTGTACCTCTTAAGCCACTCCACCAGCCCTATTTTGTGTTGGTTTTTTTTTTTTTTTTTTTTTTTGAGATAGGGGCTTGTGAACTACTTGCCCAGGCTGGCTTTGAACCACGATTCTTCTGATCTCTGCCTCCTGAGTAGCTAGGATTACAGGTGAGAGCACCTGGCCAGGAAATTTGCATCTTGGAATCACTGAAATGAGTAGTAAGAAGTTGACCCAGATTACTAGTGGTAAAGCATCAGAGGACAAATAACATGGTGGAAGTCAGTCAGCATTTTATTTATTTTGATTTTTACTTCTTAAAAAAAGAAAAAGCTGCAAAGTCTAATTGTATACTGTGTCCATAACAGTTGGTTCTACTTAATAATGAAGACGTGCTTAGTTCAAAGCTTTTAGAGTCAGGTAAAATATGGCTGAATGATTTTAAAGGTCTTACATCCTCTTACAGAAAATTGAAGCATTATGTTCTTATAATTTGCTATCAGGTACCTGGTGGAAAATCAAGTTTAAATGAACAGCTCACTTAAGAACACCAAGATACCCTCTTAAAGCTTTGGCTACTTTTGATTAGAAACTTTCACTTGCT